TGAAAGGGACCTCCAAAGGTCATCTAGGTCCAGCCCCCCACCATAAGCAGGCGCATCTCAAACTAGATCAAGCTACTCAAATCTTCATCTATCCTGATCTTGAATGTCTGCAGGGATGGGCCCACCACCACCTGTCTGGGCAACCTATTCCAGTGGTCTATTACCCTCATACTGAAGAACTTTCTCCTAATGTCTAGCCTAAATCTACCCTTTTCTAGCTTAAAGCCATTAGCCCTCAGCCTGTCACTACAAACCCTCATGAATAGACCCTCCCCTGCTTTCTTGTAGGCCCCTTTCAGGTACTGGAAGGTTGTTGTAAGGTCTCCCCAGAGCCTCCTCTTCTCCAGGCTAACAACCCCAACTTCCTCAGCCTGTCCTCACAGGAGAGCTGCTCCAGCCCTCTGATCATTTTTGTGGCTCTCCTCTGGACATGCTCCAACAGCTCCATGTCCTTCTTGTGCTGGGGGCTCCAGAGCTAGACACAGTACTCCAGGTGAGGTCTCACCAGGGCAGAGTAGAGCGACAGGATCATCCAAAATATGATAAGAAATAGATAATTTCACATGGACACTGTAATTATTTTTATTCCTCTTTGCTCTCAAATAAAAGTTTTTCCTCCTACTAGTTTAATAGAAATGAAAGAAAAAGCAGTTTTCATTAATAACAACAATGAAATAGGAGAGGAAGTCAAAACAATTAAATGTTCACTCTTCAGACAAAGCTTCCACATAGGAAACACTTACATAGGAAACTATGCTGCCATGCAAGAGACAGTTTTTCAAACTGAGGCAATGCTGCTGAGCTAAGGGCACATTTCCTGCCAGAAAGGCCATCACAGAAAATACCTTCTTGCAGTCCTCCATGTGGAAAGCGTCCACTGAGGTACGACAGCAGCCAAGTGTGGACCTGCTTTCACAAGTCACACAGAAATAGCTCCTTCTGTGTGCCTCCATGTTACTTTTCAGAGCTCATTCCCATGCCTCTCACCAATCTAACCTAAAAAATACTAAAGGAACAGATGTAGAGTTTCGACAAATGCCTCACCTTTCACACTGATCTCGAGCATGCACATTAGCTCCTTTTTTAAGAAGAAATTCTACTATCTCTTCATGATGTTCAGAGACAGCAAGACTAAGTGGAGTACATCCCTCCTGAAAGGACAGAAAGATAAGTTAAAAATCAAAGTCATAAAACCCTTCAAGAGAAACAGTGATGCAGCTTTTTGAAAGATTTTCTTTAAATATAAAAATTTACCTTATTCTGGGCATCAATACTGGCCTTATGCTTAAGTAACAACCCTGCTACAGAAATACTAGGAGATCTGACAGCAAAGTGAAGTGCAGTGTTGCCGTCAGCATCTGCCAGATTCGGGTCGGCACCGTGCTCTAGGAGAATCGCCACACATTCCTCCTGCTGGCACTGTACTGCCTGGGGACAACACAGAGCACAGGAAAGACTTCTAGCATTTACATTTCATGCTCTCACAATTCCCCCAGCTTCCCAATGTTAGAAAATAAGAGCACCTACAAAGATTAGGAAACACAGGCTTATTCCACATACAATATGCAACATCAACTATGTCAACCACAATATGCACGTTTCTACACAGGTCTGTGTAAAGAATCCTGCAAGATATGTCATTTAATGCACAGTTTATGAGCTCCACTTACAAGATCATAACATATTCCACATACCTTCATCAGTGGTGATCTCTTATCACTGTCCAGAAGATTCAGCTGACACTTGTTTTCTACTAGATATGTGACCACATCAACATGGCCATTTGCACAGGCGAGATGCAGAGGTGTTCTAAAAATTAAATAAATTAAATTAGCACAGATAAGACAACTAAAGAAATCATTTTAGGCTGTGATAAATAGACACGACCACAAGTTTAACTTTGAAAAACAAGTTTAAGAAAAGATTTCTCATTCCATCACCAGTAACAGCAGTTGCACATCAAACGCCTGAAGCTGGCTAGCAGAAACCCTCCGCAGCGTTCACTTAGTGAGGTGACATTGCCTGCCCTGTAGAACTGAACCTGCACAAACAGGTTCTTGTGCCCAGCACTGGTCACCACCTCCAGCAGAATGACACATGGTACAGCAACAGAGACAAAAGCCTGGGAATCCAAGGATTACAGCAAGTAAACCTCTAAATTCTTCTATGGTCACTCATGTGTCAGAAGTGTATCAGAGATGTGGAAGAAGGGATTTATAGCAAGAATACCAGTGTGCCCCTGCACTTTGAGAATTTCTGTTTTTTTCTCTAGCTTGCTTACTACCACAGCAAAACCAAGAACACATTTGTACCAACCTGCCTCTGATAACATGCAGCAAAACAGACAGCAGAATACTGTAGTCCTGCCTGACACGTGTTAACTATCACAGTCATTAAAAGCCTACTACAGAGGAAGTCCTTTCCAACATGGAAATACTGTGTTTCCACAATATATGACCAGCATAAGAAACAGAAACTTCTTTTTTTCCAAGTTAAAGCCTTGCCAGAAAGAAAAGGGCTCCTTCAAACCACAGAACATCTTGGATCAGACATCAGTTAATCAGCCTACTTGTACCCAAAGACACAATCATCCAGAAAGTCCTTGCATGTACTTCCCCGTAAACCACTTCCACAAAGCAGCACAAGTTTCACCCTATGCAGAAGGTAAAGCGTCTGGTGATCTGCAGGACACCTGTCCCAACAGAGCAGCAGACAAGGTAGAACACAGCCAGGAGCTTCCTCCCTTGAAGATGATGCAATAAAAAACCTGCAGCTCCTCAGCTGAGAGAAACCGCATCCCTGTGCGCAGGTCCTTCTCTCTACTTTTCATACCTTGCTGAGAGACAGAAGCACACCAGCTCACTGACTAGGTGGGCACAGGACGGTACACAAAATGCTGTAACACAGCAATTTGTACTGCCGATGCTACAGGGCAGTTGACGAGCCTCCTCCATGGCAACAAGGATGAGAACAAGAAAAACACACAAAGCTACAAAGAACTTGTAATGCCTTACTACAGACAGGGAACTGACTGAAACATCAACAGAAGAGTCCCTCAAGAGGGACTACCACTGCTTTTTGAGAAATCCTCCTTGAGTATACATGACCCTTCACCTGAAAAGAAATGGCTGACCAAGATTACCAGGTCACCAGGACTAGTTATGAAGGAGTCCAGATTCATCTGAAAGCTGCTACTACCAACTAGGTAGTCACTTGTCACTAGGAAACGTGACAAACCTGAGGAAGCCCCCGTTACAAGAGGGATGTGGACCTGCTGGAGCGTGTCCAGAGAAGGGCCACCAGAATGATCCGAGGGCTGGAGCATCTCTCCTATGAGGGCAGACTGAGAGAGTTGGGGCTGTTCAGTCTGGAGAAGAGAAGGCTCTGAGGTGACCTTGTTGTGGCCTTCCAGTATCTTAGGGGGGCCTACAAGAAAGCTGGGGAGGGACTTTTTAGTATATCAAGTAACAACAGGACTAGGGGGAATGGGGCAAAGCTGGAAGTGGGCAGATTCAGGCTGGATGTGAGGAAGAAGTTCTTCAGCATGAGAGTGGTGAGACCCTGGAATGGGTTGCCCAGGGAGGTGGTTGAGGCCCCATCCCTGGGGGTCTTTAAGGCCAGGCTGGATGAGGCTCTGGGCAGCCTGGTCTAGTGGGAGGTGTCCCTGCTCATGGCAGAGGGGTTGGAACTGGGTGATCCTTGTGGTCCCTTCCAACCCTGACAGATTCTGATCTGTTTTAGCAGAGGACTTTAGAGCCCTAGTGGCTCAATGGTTGGACTTGATGATCTTGAAGGTCCCTTCCAACCTAAAGGATTCTATGATTCTATGATTCTAAGTCGCTATCAACTTGGTAAATAGAAAAGCCTTCATAAAACCTGGGGACTTCTTGCTGCTCTCCTCAACCAAGCATCTCAGTCTGCTAACAGGAGAGGAGATGGCTCATGCTTGGAGCAAAGCCTGCTGAGGCCTACTTCAGGCTGGCAGAGAACATCTGAGCGTTCAGAGTTCCCTGTCTCTGCAAGAGGCCTCTAGTAACATCAAAGTTCTTCGGCCACCCAGCCCTGGGGATCCTCCCCAGGCTCCTCTTTCTCTTGCTGCTGCAATCCTGCGCTGATCACCCACGGGGCAGAAGAGAACTCCTGATGCCTGAGCAGCTGCAAAAGAACCCCACTGGGAGACCACAGGGAAACACCAGGTTGGGAGCATGCACTTCCAGCAGCACTTGAGCAGACACACGCTAAGCAGCGATGAGCTCTAGAGTCACTCTGACACAGCTGACAGAGTAAATCTCTCTTAGTGATTAGCTTTGACCCAGAATTCATAACTAGCCAGCACCATGCCTACAGTGCTTCCACCTCTGTGCTGAGTTTTGCCCATCTTTTCCAGCAAGGCTGAAGGCTTTGCAAGACCACATCTAAAAAGCTGCCTGATCCTAACTGATGCTCTTCCAAGTGCATTTTTTGGGAGGCCCTATGGGATACAGGACCTACTTTCTAGAATGAGCTTGTAGGTGTGATACTAACTATGTCCCTGGTGCAGGATTTTGCTTTTGGAAATCCTGAGGTGTAGAGCTGAGCTACTCATATAACAATGCACATATTTTAGCCATTACTTTCCACATACCCTATTCTTCACTTCTATTTCCAATAATGCAAACTCTTCCAGTCCCTGGAGGACACGATAAAGCTCTAAGACACAACTGCATCTGGTGGTCACTCATGATACACATCACACCCACAAGCTCTAAGAGGGCATGCGTGGGCCTGCAACCCTCTGCAACAAGCAGGCAGACTCCATCCACTGACACCCTTCCAGGCAACCTCTTCAGCAGCTCTTCAGCACTGGACGTTGTCATGCCAAAACCACTGCAGCACTCTATTGTACACACCCGGCCTTGTCTTTTTTTAAAAAATTATTTTTTACAGTGTGTCACTTTGTTTGTTCAGTTATAGTACTGATAATAGCATGACACACAGAAGGAAACCTCTCCAGAGGAAACAAAGCTTTCTAGACAAGATGAACTTAAAATGCAAAATCTAGCCAAATTTCATACCAGGGTCTACTAAGACCTGATGACTGACTGAATCAGTCACAGTAAAAGAGAAGACAGCAAGAAGGCAAAAAAGAGAAACATTAATCAGCTATTTCCATAAATGCCATTGGACACCCTGACTCAGGCAGCTGGAGTGAGTATGCACAAAATGCTCAATCCACCTTAAACTGTATCCCCCACCTCCAGCTGCATAAACAAAAACTGACTGTCAACATCCAAGCTTACATGTGTGCTTACCGTGCTGCCCCTACAAATCCAGGTGGTTTTAGGTGTTTTCAGGGCAATAAGCTAGCTGGCTGGCAAAAGTCCAGTCCTCGAGATGGACCCTAGGAAGTTGATCTGCTCTGATAAAACCAGCCTCTCTTCAGATCATCATGAAGTTTTTGACTCCCAGTCTTTTCAGAAAAGGCATTAAAAGGTTGATGCATACAAGACTCCAAAACTTCTGATTCCCTTGTGCTTATCATGGATCACTAGGGGCTGTGCTGCAGCCCGGGGCTTCTCCTTAACGTGTAACTGCCAAGTACTTGCCATGCTCGACTCCAAACCCCACACAATAACCCCCGTCAAAAGAAGCAGCCTCTCCTGTTTTTTACCCCCACACAAAAACCCCCTCAAAAAGAAGCAGCCTCTCCTGCAAGTCACTGCCCAGACCTTCCAATCCCAGGTACTGACCAGCAGTACCGAAGCCTCAGAGCAAACAACTAAGTAGCCACCACCTAAAACCAGACTGCTGCTTCGATCCTCCACATCAGTGTCACACGGGGCATATCGGGCACCTGTACGCGCAGCATCGATACACAGGACGTTTACCTCGCGCTAGAACTCCTTCTCAAAGGGCAGCGCTTCTACATCTCGCTCAGTTACCTTCTCAGCTCGGCTGCGGAGCCAGCGCTACGGCTCCTGGCAGCGCCACAGGGGTGCCAGGACCCCCC